TGTTTCTGCTTTTGCTTTAAGTAAACTTTAGAATTTATGCGTTTATTTTTTTATTTTTTTCCTCTGAATTTTTGCGTTTATTATCATGTTACCATAAGATGGCTTTTCGATGCTCATCTCCATCCTACACATGGTTAATTTGAGCTCACTTTGCACATAAATTAATGTACTTTTTAAGTTATTTTAAAAAATTGAAATATATAACTTTTAGATTATACTTCTGCTTCTGTGTTAAATAAAAGTAGTGCTTCTATTAAAAACATAGCAATCCTAAACTGATCCTTTAACTTTAGAATTTATGCGTTTATTATTATTATTATTATTTTCTCTGAATTTATGTGTTCATTATCATGTTACCACAAGACAAGATGGCTTTTCGATGCTCATCTCCATCCTACACATGGTTAATTTGAGCCCATACCCAGATATTAACGGGCCTGTACCCAAAATAAGTTCAAAGCAGAAGACCAAACAATTGTGTACCACCTTGGAAGAAGCCCACAAGTCACTATATTGGTCCCTAAAGTCCACCAAGATCATCTCACACGTTGCCCTAAGTAATTTGCATGGAAGGCTCTTCTAATTTCCTAGGAATTATCTGTTTCGACACATACAAACAATGAATTATTCAGCAACTATAAATTTGTTATATATATATATATATATGTTAAAACTATTGTTGGCCCACCTCTCATAAGTTCGAACTTTGAGATACAGTGGTTTTCCAACAGTGTCTTAATATGGTATCAGAGCCAGAGGTCGTGTGTTCGATCCTCCGTGCACTCTTCTTCCTCCCTTAAATCATCACGTGTGTATCCTACACGTGAGGGGGAGTGTTAAAACTATTGTTGGCCCATCTCTCATAAGTTCGAGCTTTTGAGATGCAGTGGTTTCCCAACAGTGTCTTAATATGGTATCAGAGCCAGAGGTCGTGTGTTCGATCCTCCGTGCACTCTTCTTCCTCCCTTAAATCATCACGTGTGTATCCTACACGTGAGGAGGAGTGTTAAAATTATTGTTGGCCCATCTCTCATAAGTTCGAGCTTTTGAGATGCAGTGATTTTCTAACAGTGTCTTAATAATATATGCATGTACACATTTATACAAATTAAGTATTCGGAGAAAGTTAAAAAAAGAAAACCATTTGCATGTTGTAACTGTCCTAATCCGTATATGGAAGACGAGAATTCAACCTCTAAATGAGTTGGTTATATTTGGTTTAACAGACTAAAACAGGATTTAGCTTGTTCGTAGTACTACTAATTTTTTTCATACCTAACATTTTCGGTGAATATTTAGGATATTTATTTTTGGGTATGGTTGTTTATCAGCTTTTGATATAGACCTCTGGTGCCATTATTTCTAGTATTCAGTGTTCCGGTCCTTATCATAACACATCAGCTTGACAGCTCCAAGATCAAATGCCCGCAACAAAAACAGGTAACTTTCTCTTTATGAGATGGAAGGTTTCATTTCAAGACAAAAAAGTCAACGTTTTTCGATAATCCCTAATCGATCCCTGTCCACCGTGGCAAAAATGGAGGGTTCCCCTTTCAACGCATTGAGCAAATCAAGGAAACGACATGGAAAGCATGGGAAAATAGATCGTAATGGCTCATTTGGTCTACATATTTAAATTAGTGATTTTAATTTAAAATTTAAAATTTATGAGAAAATTCGTTAAGAAGAACATTTTTTATTTAAATTTTTTATTAAAAAAAATAATATAACATAATTAAAATTATAATTTTAAACACGTGAATTAAATAAATTATAAGTTAACAAAATCTTTTCTATTAGAGCGACTTTCTAAATTCAAAATTGATGAAAAGAATGCATCTATTTACAACTCATATTTTACTTTTCACACAAGCATTTTTAATAAATCTTTTATTAATAAATTATCCATTAATAAAATTACTTTTAAAGATAAAAATGTTTTAAAATATACTTATTACACGCGTCTCCTTAAAAAAAAATAATTTATTGTCTTCTAAATGTTATTATACTTAACTTTTTAAAGAGAAAAACTTTTGAATTACTTTTGATGGGTTAGGAATTTTAATTTTTTGCTTTGTTGAATGTTAAACATGACCAAGAAATACACAAACCAGAGTTCTTCAATAATAGAGCCAATGGTTTTTTTTTTTTTTTTTTTGCTAAGAAATTTCGTTCAGAATAACCCCGCCGCCAAAAAGCAACAAGGAGCAACGGAACAACGTAACCAAAGAGCCTACAGCACAACAGAGACAACCTACTACAAGAAGCCTAGAAGAACACCACGAATAAAAGGTTGGAATGAGAAATGTTCATGAGAAATTTGCCGCGTCCACGACGAAAAGGTTGCAATGAATTTTTGGTATGTGGATATGAAATCTCGAAAAAGGAAAAAGGTTGTTTAAAAAAAAAAGTTTGGTTGGTGGGTAGATGAAAGAAAGGAAAAACAAAACAATTTAGTTGTTCGGATTTTTTTTTTAAAAATTTAAGAAGAGTGTAACAAATGATGGTTTAAGAATGTGTTTTTAAAAAGTAAAATGGGAGTGTCAATAGATGATTAAAATTACATAAAGAATCAAGGAAAATATGTAAAATTGAATTCCATGCCCAATTATTAGATATATAAAAAAAGTATAACAATTTAATAAGTTTTGATAAATATCCAATGATTCAAAATTGTATTTTACTATAAATATTTTTTACATCCTACCGTTCAAAAAATAAAAAATATTTCCACATTTCTTCCTTTTATAAACAATTAAATCAACTATAAAATAAAATATAAAAACGTAGATAGGGACAAGTGTACAGTTTTGGACGGAGGGAATAGTGTTGCCAATTAACAAACCAATTAGGATTTATCTTGTCAATAGATTTAAACAAAATGGTTTGAATGAAAATTTAAATTTTTAAATTTTTTTAAAGAAAATATTGTATTAAAATTTTTTAAATTTGAATTTTTATGAAAAAATCATTATAAGATAATTTCAAATGAAAGTGCAAACTCCTCTACCAAGTAAGCTTTTAGCGACCGCAAATAGCATAAATCATGGATAAAAATGTCCTCGATATCGTCGACATTTCTACGATATTATTCATATTTTGAAGTCTCGACATGGATATAGGGAGAAAGATATTTTTTCTGACGTGTCCATAAAATATCTGTTATGTTCAAAAAAATCTGTAAAATCCGTGAATATCTGTAAATATTATTTTTAAAAAGTCCAAAAAACTTGTGAAATTTTTTTTAATTAAATCAATTTTGTAACACATTTTTTCATATATTTTTCAACAAAATGAGAGAACATAATTTAAATAAAAAAGTAAATATTAAGACTTAATTAGTTTTTTTTTAAATTTACTTTTTAAAAAACCATTTATAAAAAGACGTGGTATGATTCAATTGAGTGAAACTGACGATGATTTTATAGCCTTGAGTTTTGATTCCATGAGATTAGAAACAGAGCAACGTTCATATGGTTATCCATATTGTTCTTATATAGGATCTATTTCAAAAGTATAAAACCAAGATGGTTTGTAGGATGTATTAGTGTATCCTCCATCACATATCAGTGTAATTACACATCCCTGAAGACTAATCATCAAGCTCGACAAACTAATAGTATTCAATTTATGAGTTAATAACGAGAAGAGATCAAGAAACATAAAGGTGGCACATCAACTACATCCTGAATTATTCAAGGATAATATCTTGGTAAATGTATTGGTTAGATCGATATCAGAAACTACCTAATGTTTTTTAACCTGTTAGAAACTCGTTTTGATACTGAAAGCACTTTAAGTCTGTATGTACTCTATTATGTTTAATAGTTAATTTTTATGTATTATATTGAATTATTGTGCTTTGTTTATAATGAGTATGTAAAATTATATTTCAATCATAATCTATATATGATTATGATATTTTCTATTATATTATTCAACATAACTCTCATATATTAATAAAAAAATGTATTATTTTTATTATTAAATTAATTTAAATTAAATAATATTGATTATTATAGTATTTTGTACGGTTTTAATAAAAACTTAAAAAAAATTTAAAATATCTAAAAAATATCTGTTGACATTGACATTTTTGTCGATATTATTCATGAATCAAAATCTCGACAACCCACGGCAAAAATACAAATTCAAAGATCAAATGATGCTAAAGTCGGGAGCAGCAGTCAATCTAGTGCTTTTTGCTAATTTGCTCCTTTTATCCGTTGAATAAAAGAGCGGACGAAATACGGTGTGTCATGACTAAGACCACGTTTATTTTGTTGATTTGAGTTTAGAATTTAAGTTTTATTACAGTAAAAAGCTTTAAAAAATAGTCACATTTAACTTTTTTACTACAGTAAAAAACTCTCACATAACATCACATCTCAACTCAAATTAAAAACTCAAATTAGCGAACTAAACGGCCCCTAAGGGGGTGTTTGGTAGAGGAATTCATTTCCTGATTTGAATCATAATTTGTGATTCGCTACAGTATTTTCTCTCATAAAAAATATACATAAATAAAAAATAGTTTGAATCACATGGTTTGAATCCTCTAACCAAACGAACCCTAAGTAAGCCCGTGAAGAAGCACGAGCGTTATGGGCTCACGGAAGTCAAACCTTAGCAGCAAATAAAAAGTTGCCACGTAAAAGGAGGACATCCTTTCGATCTTCCACGTGGCTTTATATGCCGTCTCAAGGTTGTTTAGCCAACCAAGAACTCCGGAGATATGACGTCACACGTATCTCAAGCTCGCACTTTCCGCTCAGAAAGTTTTTTTTGCGCCCTGCAATAAAAATACATATATTAGTTGTCAATTCCAAAATTTATTTTTTCATTTTTTTCTTTTCCATTTAATCCGTTAATCCAATAATCTAAACATAGGTGGTTAATCCAGTAATCTTTTAACAAGATCATCATTTATTTTTGGAATCATGATTCGATAATGACCATGTATGCATTCCCAAGATAAAATAAATCTATTCTAATGCCACGACCATTTCTGTCGTTCTCATCCCTTAAATCTCTTCCTTTGTCTCTCTCTCTATATATACTCTACAAATTCTGCTCTGTTTTCTCACCTCTGCAAATACAGTAAAAGATCAAAGGAAGATACTTTGAATAATTTGGAAGCAAAATCAGAAGAAGAAGAAGAAGAAATGTCGAAACAAGAGGAAGTTTTCGTGGGTTCAATTGATCAAGGAACCACCAGCACCAGGTTCATCATCTACGACCGATTCGCCAAACCAGTCGGATCTTACCAGGTCGAGTTCACTCAGTTCTACCCTGAAGCCGGGTAAGAAATCTATCAATCCTTCAAAAATTCAAATCGTCATTTTCTCCCAAATTGTTCTTGTTCTCTGATTTCCTTTGTGTGTGTGTGTGTGTGTGATTAGATGGGTAGAACACGACCCAAGGGAGATTCTGGAAACCGTGAAAGTGTGCATAGCGACGGCCGTCGAGAAGGCGACGGCCGATGGGCACGACGTCAAGAATGGGCTGAAGGCCATTGGTTTGACCAATCAGAGAGAAACGACGCTCGTTTGGAGCAAGTCAACTGGTGCTCCCCTCCACAACGCCCTCGTCTGGATGGACGTCCGTACCAGCTCCATTTGCAGGTCTTCACTTTTTTTCCTTTTCCGTAGTTTCCCAACTCATCAAGTTCGTCACTTTTTCTTTTCCACCATTACAATACCGTTTCCTAAATTGCGTGATTGTAACAGATTTGCCGAAAAAACTGAATGAGACCGACGTAATTTGGAATTTAGATTTGTATTTTTGCATGCCGTTTCTATATATAGTAATTCCCTTGGATTTCCGATATATAATCTTTTTTAACAAAAATCCTCAAATTTGTGTTAATACAAGACATCTAGGGATATAATCCAGTGATTTCTGTATCTGGGGTGTTATTTTACAGAAAATTGGAGAAGGAATTGTCTGGGGGAAGAGCACATTTTGTGGAAACCTGTGGCTTGCCCATAAGTACATACTTCAGCGCAGTGAAGTTGCTTTGGTTGATTGAAAATGTTGATGCTGTTAAAAATGCTGTGGAGTTGGGTGATGCCCTCTTTGGGACCATAGACACTTGGTTGATATGGAATTTGACCGGCGGGGTTAATGGAGGCTTGCACGTCACGGACGTCTCCAATGCATCAAGGACCATGCTGATGAATCTCAAGACTCTGGAGTGGGACAAACCCACATTGGAAACTCTGGGAATCCCAGCTAAAATCCTGCCCAAAATAGTCAGCAATTCTGAAATCATTGGCAAAATTGCTGAAGGCTGGCCAATTCCTGGGGTCCTGATTTCGGGCTGTTTAGGGGATCAGCATGCGGCCATGTTGGGACAGGCTTGCAGGAAAGGTGAGGCCAAGAGCACGTATGGGACTGGCGCTTTCATACTTCTCAACACCGGTGAAGAAATTGTCCACTCAAAGAATGGACTTTTGAGCACTTTGGCATTCAAGCTTGGCCCTTTGTCTCCGACAAATTACGCCCTGGAAGGGTCGATCGCGATCGCTGGAGCGGCGGTTCAGTGGCTGAGAGATGGTCTTGGGGTTATCAATCATGCCGGTGAAATTGAGGAGTTGGCCTCAAAGGTTGAGTCCAGTGGAGGAGTCTACTTCGTGCCTGCTTTTAATGGATTGTTTGCTCCTTGGTGGAGAGATGATGCTCGCGGTGTTTGCATTGGCATTACCAGGTTTACCACAAGGGCTCACATTGCACGAGCTGTGCTTGAGAGTATGTGCTTTCAAGTGAGAGATGTGCTTGAGTCCATGAAAAAAGATGCCTTGGAGAAGGGTGAGGCCAAAGGTGAGAGTGAAGAATTTCTGCTTAGAGTTGATGGTGGTGCTGCTGTCAACAATCTATTAATGCAAACTCAGGTTTGGCTCTCTTTATACTTCTCTTTTTTTTTTTTTTTTTTACTTCCCTTTCTTTTGTTGATTTCTCAAAAATTCTATTAATTAATGATTTTATAAAACTTATCCTTTCTAAATTTGGTATCATTTTCTGTCGAACTTGTGTTTATGTCTTATTATCTTAAAAATCTTATTTTTTAGCATGATAAACTTGGGAAACTAACTTGATAATTTCTTATTATCTTAAATTTTAGTTGATATGACTTGAATATATTGATTAGACAGAAATAATATATTAAAGTGATGTTAAGATGTGAAATTGGTGTTAGTTTTTGCCATTTCTAAATGCGTTAGTTATAAATGGAGGAGCCAGAAAATTTTTTGTGGGAGTGATTGTAATTAAAACTTTGACCTAAAATTATAATGCAACTATACTATTTTACACTATGTCTCTCTTTTTGCTTTCTTTTATCTATATTTATAACTTTTACCTTTTCTTTCAAATGAACTAAGCTTATAACAAAACTTATCACTTGTAAAGTTTACAAAATACTATACTTGATTTTTGGTTTATTTAGTTTTAAATTTAAAATATGGGTATACTTAAATGTCAAAAAAAACTGTTGATAACTGAAATTGAAAAAAAAAAAAAATACTATACTTGATTTTTGGTTTGTTTATTTTTAAATTTAAAATATGGTTATACTTAAATGTCAAAAAAAACTGTTGATAACTGAAATTGAAAAAAAAAAAAGGCTACATAAATATTGCGATTAAAAGATTCCGAGGGGGCAAACTAGTAAAAGTGACTTGTCAATTTTTTCCCGAGGGGCTTATAAGGAGCTCTTGAGGTAGCACCCACCTTGTTAGTTAGTTGCACACTAATTTTTCTCCAACCAAACTCTTTTGTATAAAGTTATTAACAACACAATTCTCTGGTCTTATTTTGGATGAAACCACATGGAGACGAACTTTTGTGCCTTCTGTTGTGATACGAGTCGCATTGCATCTCGTTTTACTAAAGGAAGCTAAATATGCTTTTTTGCTCTAGTACCGTAACTTCCTAACCTTTTTTTTTTTTTTTTTTTTTTTTTTTGTGATAGGCGGACTTGTTGGGAAGCTCGGTGGTGAGACCGGCTGACATAGAGACGACGGCTCTCGGAGCAGCTTATGCGGCCGGGCTGGCCGTTGGGGTTTGGAAGGAAGAAGACATCTTTGGCTCTGGAGAAAAGGCCAAGACTGACACCACTTTCCATGCCATATTAGATGAGGAAAAAAGGAACAAGAAGGTGGAGTCTTGGTACAAAGCTGTTACAAGAACCTTTGACTTGGCTGATCTCTCCCTCTGATGCTCTCTCCTGGCTTCCTTTTCTTTTCATTTGCTGTCCTTTTTTAATTTTAATTGGCAATGTTGGTTGGTTACGATGTTTCGTTCATTTCCCTTGGTACATTTACATTGTCGTTAATAACATATAAGCACACATATGACGGGCAACAAAACGTTCAGTAACTGTTATTTTCTCTTTCTGGCTCTTGTAGGAATCAAATTTGGCGTTTTGCCGCCAAGTTTGCTATTATTATTACACAATCAATATATATTTGTTTATGTCACTTTCTAACTGCGTAGTGCCTACATTAAACTTTTATGCAGGCTACTAGTGTGTGGTTTTGAACGATTAACGGGTATATTTGAATTAGACCAGCAAAAAAAGTTTATTTGAATTAATTTAAAGGCTAAAGATGTTTTATAAACGAGCTCAAATCGTCTCTCTATCGTTTCTTTATAATTCATATTTATTTATATGGAAGATGCAAAGCAAAAAATCCACCAACGAGGCGTCATATATTTGTAACATCTTCTCTGTATATGGTAATTAGTCGTTTGGAGAGTCATATTTTGATATACAGTTTTAAAGAAATACTTGAAAGGTAAATGGAAAACAAGAAAGAACAAAGGAAACCACTATTGAAGGAATAGATAACGAATTTAAGCAAAGTCTCATGCCAATATGGGAATAACGTATGAGAGATAAACTTATCTTGGTCGAGGTTGGGAGCCCGTCCATTGGCTGTGGCGCTGGAGATGCTCAGCACTCTAGGAGCATACGATCTTCTACCTGCTAAGGTGAGGTTGTTCACAGGAAAGTGATGGCCTCAAATACCGCCTTAGGTAGTCTCATTCATGGTTTTAAGTTGTTGCTTCCATCCTTCAAATGGACATTTCTCTTGATATGGTAGTCATGGCGACATTGGGAGATCTTGAAGGTTGTGATTTTTATTGGAAGGGCAGGGGCCCTCCTTATAGCACAAATTGTTGACCGTAAAAAATGACCAACTTGGGAAGAACCGAATTTTTAGATTGTGATCTGATTTAAAAAGATTAAATAATTACTAAGAAATCAAATAAAGATCAAAGTAAAGAGAAAACACAATAATAAAGATCTACGTCCACTATGGTTGCCGAGTTTTTCATTCCAATTATACCCTCAAACTCTATATTACATGCTCTCTCAACACTCAATGTAAGTGAGAACAAATGTGAAGTCTACTCTCAAATCGAGTGTCTGAATCCTCTCTGTCTTATGCACACTCTGTTTGTAAGGGTCTTCCCATGGTGATAACCGTCGAATGTGGTTCCCCCACGTCCGGCCATGTCGGTTCTTCATTCTTCTGCTTTTCATGATGTCGTGTCGGGAACGTGGGTAGTTACCTAAGATCATGGGTCTTGCATATGTGTAGCTTGGGAGTGTGCGGTTACTCAAGATCCTGAGTCTGACATTTGGTAGCATGGAAATATGGGCTGTTGAGGTCATGGGCTCCTTCTCGAGTTTAGAATTTGAGTTTTGCTACGGTAAAAAGCTCTCAAAAACAGTTATATTTAACTTTTTTACTACAGTAAAAAACTCTCACATAAAGTCACATCTCAACTCAAATTAAAAACTCGAATCAGCAAACTAAGCTGACCCTTAGACTTGGCCAAACTTACTCACCTCAACTTACCTTAGCTAAGGTTACAAAGGCCGCCCATCTCAACTTACCTAGTTGAGGTCGCCCTTGTCATTTACCTTTTTGAGGTAACCCTTCTCATTTACCTACCTAAAGTACCCGGGTCGTTCATCTCATTTACTTACTTGAGATACTCCTTCTCACTTACCTACTTGAAGTATCCCTTCTCACTTACCTATATCAGGTTCTGACGTAGCTCTTGAGGTTGTCCACCTCAACATACCAAGCTTAAAGTGTTAAGCTCAGGGAATTGGGCTCGAGATACTAGCTCAACTTACCAAGCTTGAGGTACCAAGCTCGAAGTACCGACAAGCTTTGAATTTTAATGTAACCTATGTGGAACGCTAGACTTGGAAAAAATTATGACAGAACAATTTATTTATTTTTTGAATACCCCTGATTTAGAACAAGGACACTAGTATGGCCAATGGGTGGGAAGGAGCCTGGAAGGTGGCGGTGGGGGATGAGATGAGATTAGAGTTTTTAGTTTTTTTTAATATTTTAATATTTATTTCAAAAAAAAATTTCCTATTTGAGGCTACTTTGGGTATTTCAATATGAAAATTGATTATTGATTGAGAAAAATGTATGAATTTGTATATTAAATTTAATTTAAAAATATAAATTAAAAATCAAAAGTATATATTCTGAATAAATCTAAAAGATATGGTATAAAATGGTCAATATCCCAAAAATAATATAATCATATCGTAGTAAAATCATATTTTGTACGGTATAATAACATAATCATTATTTAATGATATTAAATTTTGTTACTCCTGTAATATTTCAAAAATTTTGTTAAATTTCAACTTACTGTTGAAAATTTGCTAAACTGTAAAGATCGTTTGGGCCAAGAGCTACCATTGTTCACAAAACCAGGTCCATTAAGCTGCGATAGCCTATACCAGGCTTTTGCCACAGTTTAAACCGTGTAACAAGAAAAAAGAACCCCATAGTAGAAAAAAGAAAGACAAATACTAACTGCATAGTTTGAATTTTTACTCTTACTCAATATTATTTTTAGTCAAATAATTATATTAATTAAAATAGTATTAATTAAGAATAAAGATAAAAATTTAGACTCTGCACTTTAAAGGTAAGTTCAATAAATTTCTGAAATGTGATAATCGTCTTTTGTTTCTAGGTAAATTAAGCCTAACTTTTTCACAAATGGTATACTCAAATATCAATTTTTGTGAGGGAATAGTGTTTGCTGACCAGGAAAATGCTAACTTTAATTTCATATATACAGGCATTACGCTTTTGAGATGCCAACTTTTCTACCAAACATTTTAAAAATTATTCTAAAAGAACAATAAACTCGCAAATAAGTTTCTTTAATTTGATGCCTTATTCTTTAAGTCAACCCTTCATATTCCCCATTAAGTCCTCTAAAATTCAGACAACCAATGTTTTACTCTACTAATACACACCCATATCTTGTCCCAAAGATATAATAAAAGTCGTCCATTAGAGGACTTGAAACAATGCCTTTTTTGAGTTGGTAACCATTAATTTACATGTTTTAAAAGTCACTTTAATTGAGTGGGATTATTGATAAGAATTAAAGCATTAAATTAAGTTTCTTGGTTAGTTAAAGCTCTAGTGATCAGCCTTTGGCCAATGATATTGTCCTCCACACACCACTGACGTAATTGAGTGTTCCCTTGGCATCTTCCATTGCTTTCAAGGTATCCAAAACCGAAAACAACATGTCATTCATATAAGTAAATTAAGGGTCGTTTAGTTCATTCGAGTTTTTAATTTGTGTTGAGATGTGATTTTATGTGAGAGTTTTTTATTATAATAAAAAAATTAAATGTGACTGTTTTTGAGAATTTTTTACTATAGCAAAACTTAAATTATAAACTCGAATCGATAAAATAAACGGATTTAAAAAAAATGGTATTTTATTTGGTTCTTGGATTCTGATGATGACAAAGAAGTGGGCCCTCCTCAAATTTCAACCGTCGAATTGATGATCTGTTGGTCATCAGTTAGGCACGTGTTTGGTGCTTGGTTGCTTAATTAGATTAAGGGCTGACTCGTTGTATTATTCTGGTGTGGAAGGAAACTGATGTAATGGGAATTTTAGGCAATACAAGATAGATTATTCTGGTTTTTAACAAGGCTTGAGCATCACTGAATTTAGTAAAAGGAAAAGCAATACATATATGCCACTTTTTCCTAACTCTTGAAGATGTTTAGATGCTGCTGCTAGTACTGCACATATAGCCATGGTGCTTTTTGTCTTCCTCTATGTCCTTTCTTCTAAATAAAATTGCATTTCCACATACAAACGGAATATCAAATTATAAGGCGTCAAAATTAATATTAGAGTTGCATGAAAATGTAAATATAAATAGTATAATAATTATACTTCTTTGTTTGGGATTTGCCATGTAGTGAGAGCTTATAAGAGATTACAATTGGTCATTGAGAAGTATTAATAATGAAGACTCGCAAGTGTCGTCACTTGCAATCAAATTTAAATAAAAGAAGTGTTGAACGACAACATATTAATCGGAATAGATTTTTGAGTCATAAATAATATGCTAGCACTGTTGCTCATTGTTAATCATTCCACAGGTAGTTGTTATGGACAAGGATCTTCTTTTCTTTTGGACAAACAAGTAATTATCAATTAATTACCTAACTAAAGGGTTGATTAATCTTGCTTTACTTATACTGAGATGGGAATGGAGTTGGTTGCAAGATACGTACAATCTATATATATAAACAACTTGCTCGCAAATCATGCTTAGAATTTGACCAACTCATCCGCACTTGACTCGTTAGGCGCTGCTATTAATGAGCATAGAGTTTGCCATTAAGGAGGTTCAACTGGTTTGCTTTTATTAGAAAAGAGCAATGAGATCAGAAAAGGTTGTGAATTAAACTTGTAGCATACTTGTCTTTTATATACTTGATATGTGTTACTATGACTACCATAGATTGTTACCCTAAAATTTTAACTTAAAATAATATTATCATGAATGAATTATTGGCCCGTTACGTGCATGTTAATTCAATGAAGAGTAAAAAAAAAAAAGGAAAAAAAAAAACAGATGTTCAAATTTTTCTTCTTAATTTTGAATATAAACTGACAGATAAATTTTAGCTAGTACATTTTTGTAGTAGGCTATTATTGGCCTTTGATATCTTGAATATGGTTTAAAATACACCATCATAAGTAGTCAATAAATGCATAGAACAATTCTTCATCACAATTCTTCATCATAATTCTTCATCATATACTCAAAATCTTATACTATTATTTACTTAATTTTAATAGATGTTATTGTATTTTAATGTGTTATGAATTTTAAATTATTTCTATCATGTAAATAATTAAATAAAAGTATATAATTTTCGTGTTAATTTTGAGTTTACGAGTCAATTTCGTGTCACGAGTTATTTTCGTGTCGTGTCGTATCAATCTGTAAAGTGATCGTGTCGAATTCGTATTGCAGTTTTTAAAAAATTTAACACGACACGTGACACGAATTACTATCTCTCTTAAAAACAAGCATACTACTAGGACAATCCAAGAAGGCAAGAAACTACAAAATGTCAAAAGCTAAGAGACAAAGAAGAACAATCCTCAGCAGCAACACAAAGCAATCCAAACTCCCAAAGAAAGAGAGATGAATAGAGCAAAGAAACTACAACGAACCAGCCAAAAACGATTATTTTATTCTAATTTTAAACTGAAAAATACATAAATAAAAAAACGAGAGAGGAAAAAAGCTAGTCGCACACTTTTTAACTTTTTGCCAAATGTCAAAGTGCAATCCCTCACGCAAGCGAAAGAAAAGAAAAGGAAACCTCCCAAAAAAGCAAAAAGAAGGAGAAAGGAAAATTACCAGAACCCAATCAAAGAAAAACAAGAGAGAGAGAGAGAGAGAGAGAGAGAGAGAGATAGAGACAGAAGTCTTGAGAGTACTCTTCATATCATATCAGAGAGTTCTGACCAAAGCAGACTGCGTTTTGGCTGTTAGTAGTGTCTAGTCTTTCTGATAAGCTCCTTTCCTTGTTTCAATGCCCCGCTGATCCTCGCATGACTCATCATTCAATTGCCAGCTAAAACCCTCGTTCTTGTTCATTTATCAATCATCACTCCCTTCTTCACACTCCCCCCAAGATCACCCTTTCAAATTCAAACCTCTTTTTCATTTTTATTTTTATTTTTTTTTTACAAATATTTCTCCTTTAAACGTTATTATTCATAAAAGACAATGCGGGTTTGTCTTCTCACTAATTATTACACAACAAGATCATGATTGCTTCACTTTCTCACCTAATGGCTGATGGGAAAGAAAGGATTATCATTAGTAGTAAATACACCAACAAAATATCTTATTTTTACACGACATGGGTAATGGGTTTAGTATTATTAGGCAAGTGTTTGACTATTGTAAACTTTAAGACGCGTAAAGTTAGAGAAAAAAGAAAAATGATAGCAAAAGCGTTTGAGATAGCACATCATCCAATCCATATTATTCTCTTATTCGAATCCAATCTCTCTCTCTCTCTCTTCTCTCTCTCTCAGTTTAATAATTTTTCTCACGTCTTTGTCTTGTCTCTCGCCGTATATCTGACATTTCCACCACACACATGACCCAATAAAGCAGAAACTTAAAAATAAAAATAAAAACCCCAAAAACTCAAACAAAACAAAGCGTAAATCAAAAGTTCAAAACCCAATTTTCCACTCTCTTTCTCTCTCTAACAAGAATAAAAACCCTACATTTCATGCATTTCTCCCTCAGAAATCTCTCTCACAAGTTCTCAACTTTCCACCACAAAAACCAACCATGAACTCGCCCACATACGGGTCCGACCCGGTTTCTCCCAATACCACTTACGTCCAGGCCGACCCATCAACTTTCCGGGCCGTGGTCCAAAAGCTAACCGGAGCCCCGGACGACCCGTCGGCCCAAAAGCTCCCTCTCAGCGGCCTCCCTTCCCGGCTCGCCAACCCGAAGCCCGACATCGGGCCCAGAAGACCCACCTTCAAGCTCCACGAGCGCAGGCAGGCGGCGAAGAAGCTGGAGCTCAACCTCACCAGCACCAGCACCAGCACCACCTTCGGCGGCGGCGCGTCGTTCTCACCACACTTCGTCATGCCTAGAAGCGGCGGCGGAGGAGGAGGGTTCGTCGTATCGCCGGTGTCGACGCTGGAGTTCTGGGCGCGTGGGAGCCCGAGAACGCCGGCGACGCCGTGCACGGAGGAGGAGGAGGAGGAGGAGAAGAGAGCGATTGCCGAGAAGGGGTTTTATTTGCACCGAAGCCCGTTAAGCACGCCCAGAGGGTCTGATCCGCCGGAGCTTTTGCCTCTCTTTCCTCTTTGCTCTCCTAGAGATCATACTACTGATCATATTAACTCTTCTGCCACTACTTCTTAGCTTCCTTAGCCTAGTCTTCTTTCCCACAATTGTTAATTTTTTTTTTTTGAAATTCATTTATTTTTCTCATCTTTGTTAATTGGATTTTGTAATGAGAAGGCGTATGCCGTATGGGGTTCAGAGATGTACGTACAAGTGTAGACGTATCTCTGATTATTTTATCGATTTAAATTTTTCAGTCACAATTAATTTTTTCTATTACGATAAATTTTTTAAAAAAATATCACATTTTAATTTAAATTAATTAAAAACTTAAATTCATAAAGAGTATGTTTTTTGTCTAAAAAAATTTTAAAAAAATAATTTAAATTTAAATTTTATTTAAATTTACAGTCTTTTAAGTTTTAATTTTATTTAATTTTATTTAAATTTTAATTTTAACTTAAATTTTAATTTAAATTTTATTAAAAAATTACACTCAAATTATATTCTAAAAAACATCCTCAAAGTGAACGGTGTTCTAACGTGATTCTAGTTTGCGTGCTTGAGAACCGCTTTGTTTTGTGTAATATTAATATAAGTAATATATATCTAGCGGAAAAATGACACCTTATTTAAAAGAGAGCGAAAAAAAAAGGATTTTTATACTTCTATTTTTAGCTTTACAAAGAGTAAACTAATGACTTTTAGAAGGAAGCGCTTAATAGAGAGAGTGATCGCCTCAAGAAAGTGCTCTGCGACTTACAAAATTAAAAAAAAAAAAAAAAAATCTGATATTTGGGTCAGCAACGTCTCCGCCTCTCTTCCTCAGCGTTATGTGTATATTTTTTATGAAAAAAAATATTATAATAAATTATGAATTATGATTTTCATGTTGTCGTCCTTTTGTCCTTCTTGAGTGGACGACTTTGACCTTTTGTTTCTTATTCGTGTGGCTTTTCCAGTTGTGTCCTCTCTCTCTCTCATAATTGAAGTCGTTCTTAGTTTATTGTCGTTTTATGTTAACATGGTTATGAATTATGATGCTGATGTTCTTTTATCCCATGATTTCGTTATCCCAGTTTGTTGTCGTTTGGGTGTTAAGTCGTTTTTCATGTCTGGTCGTTTCTTGTGATCATCTTCTAATACGAGTTTGTTGTAACTTTCTCGTTCATATGGTTCCTTTTTATTGTTTTTAAAATTTTCCTTTCTGTGCACGTCATTTTTTTTGTTTATTGTCATTTTGTAGTTTATATGTTGTTTTACTTTATTGTCGTTTGTTATGTAGTTGATGACTTTTTGGTGCTTTTGTCATCTTCCGTGTTGATGTCGTTGTTAGTTCTAGTGTCCCTTTGATGTTAGAATGATTGTGTGTTTTTTAGGTTTACAGTCGTCTTTATGCTATGTGCCTATGATAAGTTCTTGTCTGATATTAATGTGTTTTTACTATAGGTTTTCATGTGGACATCGTTTCTCTGTTTCTTGTCGTTTTATTGTTGTCTTTTAGTAATTATAGCAACTTCTTAACGAGAGGAATTTGAATCAACAATGACTCGGAACAAACGACCAAAAGAAACAGTGTAACGAAATAAGACATAATGACCAAGTGTTCCATAACAAGATCACCACAAACGTCACGAGCTTAATGGAAAAGCAACTACATGGAAAACGACAATAACTTGACAAGATGCAAAATAGGACAGAAAGTAAGGAGGACGGTAACACACAGCCTACATATATAAAAACAACAGTTAAACAAATATTACAGCAATAAAAGACACACTTTACAAAGGAAATAGTATTTACAGACGACAAAATGTTAGACAAACGACAGACCTAGCTAGAAAACCGTAAAACCTAGCAACGACAATATTCACAAACATAAGTAACAAAAATTCAGAACGGCAACAAAATAACAATAATTACTGAAAAAACTGAGAGTGCGTTTGGTTGAGGATAATGGAATGAAAAGGAAAGGCCATTATCAGAAAATGGTCCAATTTTATCATTTGGTTGACAAGTTTACTAAAGAAAGGCGTTTCCAACTGAAAATCCATTCACCCAAATTGGGTGATTCAGCATTCACGTGGGGGGAGAGAAGAAAGGCCTTTCCATTCAGCCTTCTTTTTCTTTTTCTCCAAATTGCCCTTCTCAAATTTCTCCATTACTACCTTTCGACTACCTTCACTTCAACTGAGGCCAACTACCTCTTCCATCTTATAAAGAAAATAAAAAACCCATTCTTCTCTCTCAAATCCAACCCACGTTGAAACCCAACCGAACATCATTAAAGCTGACACCCAGCGCCGCCGTACATCATCGGAGCTCACGCTCAGCGCCGCCATATAGCGTTGTCGAACATCATTTGGAGCTCACGTCGTTGGTGCTCCACCACTTACATCCACGTTATTCCGCCGTATATTTTTACCATTAAAATATAGTTTTTAAATTTTATCATTTAAATAAAAAGTTTTTTTTTTACTATTTTAATTAATTAAATATTAAATTATTTGATGATTTTAAATTAAAAATATTTTTATTAAAATACAGTTTATTTCCGTTTAATCAAACAGCATAATCTTCGTTCAATCTTCATCTTCATTCAGAAACACCAAGAAAAGTAAACAAAATGACATTAAACACGACAACAATTTCAAAACAAAAGTTTGAAAAACGACAATTAGTCAATTACCTTCGCAAACAACACATTAAAACGACATTAATTAAAAATGACGATGAAATGAAAACGACGATATTCTATGAGACGACAGCAACAAAAGACAAATAGTAAAGCGACAAAATTTAGTAACGGATTAATAATGGCAGATAATAAAAGGACAAAAAAAAACCTAAGAAACGACAATATCGTGGCGCAAGAATGAAGCTCCATAGTCATGATCAAAGCGTAACAAGCGCAACTTGAGAAGAATTTTGAGCATCCTCAAACAAAAAACTTTTCGGGCATATTATTTACCACTAAGATGCTGAATGAATGTAATTCTAAAGGAAGCGGAAAATGTACACATGAAAGGATCTGATTGGCTTTTTATTCATCAAAATCTCTACACGAGAAAAGAACGCTCAACGCGGTTTATTAGAATGTCCCAAACTAACTTGAGACTCAGAACTTTTCCTCTATCTCCCGACTTTCTACATTGTCAAAAGTAAGTGAGAAATTGGAGAAGGTACTTAGGCCAAATTCTTCCCAGTGAATCTCTCTCTCTCTCTCTCTCTCTTCAACGAACAGAAGCACATATGGACTGTTGACTGTACAAACCAGTCACACCATTACTGAACTGTTGCCTGTTTTTTCTCCTCTTTGTAACAACTATAAATCCTTCACCATCCCCACTTTTCTTATTTACATCTACAACTTTCTGAGCCTCAGAATTACCAGTCTGAGAAACCTTGTGTTCTGTCTTCCCTTCATTTCCGTAGTGTATCTTTATAATGGCACTGTCGTTTTCAATTGCATCAGAAAGTTTCTCCGAGCGGTCAGACTTCTTCCCACTAACTGCAAACTCGCCAGCACTGTCCATGTTATGTTGTACAGACTTCACAATGAAGCTAAGCAGGATCTGCCTCGCAAGCTCGGACTTTTCGGTCTCAGAGATGCTCTTTCTAGAGTTACCATCTGTAGGTTCATCGTTGGACTTGTCATCGAGTTTCTCCACTTCTGGCCTATTGATCTCTAATGACGTGTCTGATTCAGCCGGAACTCCTGCATTTGCAATCACAGGATTTGTTTGCCACGCTCTTCTTGGAACAAACTCCGGTGCATTCGGGTTCATGATTCTTTGAGGTTCTGATCCTGTTCTTTCGGTTGTGGGAGTTGGAAACTTGGGAATATCACGTCTCATGTCGAAAGAATAGTTGGTTCTGTAATACAACGGCGATCTAGGCCCACAAGGAACTCGAGCAGCCGCAGGCGGAACCACCACAGGCTCTGAAAGCATTTCTTGGCTGACTCTAACATCATAAACGCTTGTGACAGCTGCTGAATTTAAAGGGTGAGACAGGGTGATCGGTCCCGGGTTGAAAGGTTCAGCTGCAGCAGAAAGTTTGCTTCCATATTTTTCTTTGGACTTTTCCTCTTCAAGTTCTGCTCCACTATTTTCCCTATGACCCTCACTTTCATTAGTTCCTTCTGTTTCACTCTTTGTGATTGTTTCAACTACAGAGTTAGTTTTACTCTCTTCATGCTTTGATGTCTCAGGTGGAACGTTACTCACCTTGGTTTCTGGCTTCTCCACAGCTATTTCATCTGCTTTTTCCAGCAATGGCTTTAGAACAGTGCCAGGCGGTGCCAACGCTACTTCTTTGTAAGATAAAGATTTTGAAGCGATGGTACTATGAATGGTTGGTGAGGAGACTTTAGATGCAGAAGCTTTTGCCTGATGTTTAACTAAATCCTGCCCCGTACTCGAGCTACGACCCCGTGGCTGCTTTTGTGGAGACAACTCGGTAGTAATAGACTTGGGAATCACATGTTGTGATGCTGAATTGACTTCCCTTCCATATCTGCTCTCTCTAGAGTTTGAATATTCACTCTGTAAGTTTAGCTTTGAGAGAACTGGCTTCCTCCGCCCAGACTTTCGGCCGGTTGAAGTATTCCCAGATCGCCCTTTTGAACTGGCCTCTTGCCACCCTTCATCTGAAGTCGTTTCTTCTACAGCTCCACTTGTAAATGTCAACCCATATCTTGAAATATCATCATTTTCTTCCATTTCTTTTTGATGAAGCATGCTTCCTGAGTTTACTTCTGTAACACCATCCGGTTTAGCTGCGGCATTTTCTGTGACATCATTTGGCATCTCATCTTTAGCTGTTGCTACATGATGTTCTTCACAGACTTTCTCTTCTGCTTGCAGTACCTAAAAATTTATAATACAAGTTAAAACTTTCCCATTTTAACAGATTAATTCTGTGCTCGAGTGGAGCTTAGTAAAAGAAGCATGTACCTTTGCTCGCCGTTGCCTCCTCTGCGCATCACTTCCTTTTGAATCCTGATCAGGACTTATGAAATCGAGCAGATCTGATACACTGCAATAGAGACGGTCCAGAGGATTAGGTTCCAGGGAATGTTATCATTTGTCGAAAATCAGGTTAATTTGGGAATACCATATTAGTACCTAAGGTGGCCTTTGCTTGCAATTAATTGATCTGGCTTTGGGGTTCCATTTCTTGCCGCCTCTTGCTGCTCCAAAGCTTTCGACTCGAAATATTCAAGCCATGCGGCTGCATCCTGCATAACATTACAAATAGCAAAATAAAATCTAAAAACTAGCAAGTTACGTGGGAATAAGAACACGATGTTCCTTCTTCAGCAGAGTGCCAGAAAAGAAAGGACAGTTTTTAATGCAAAAAACTGGTATCTAGAGAATAGTTTCAAGACTGGATGGCTACCTGAGTACGAAGATCTTCTGGCCCAAGTTTGGCTTGGAGTATCTTAAGTGTGGTTTGCTCATGTTGGACACTGAGGGAATATGCTTCCATCAATGAAAGAGCTATGGCTATGGCATGATAGCTTGCAGCCGTCTGTAAGGTCAAAATACAAAGACAATATTTAGAGGATCTGCATATTTTGGCATGTGAAGATATGGAGGGAGGGAGATAGAGAGAGAGATACTTGAATGTGATCTGCTCCTAGTAGTCTTTGGTTGCACTTGAGAGCTTCATGCAGGTATCTGAGAGCAACATGAACATTCCCCATGCCCTCTTCCATCATCGCGACGTTTATATATGTTGCGGCAGTGTTTGGGTGAGATAGTCCACATGTAAAATGAAGAAGAAACAAAGCACGATTCACGTACCTATGAACAATACACCATTTTTAATTAAGAGAATTAAGGGCAAGGAAATAATGTTTACAAACGTTGTCCTACAAAACTTAAACCACTGGGAAAATCATATTAAAAAAAAATTAAATAAGATATTTGCAACTTACTTCAAAGCCAATTCAATATGTTGAAGACGGTAATAGAAAACTGAAAGATCCCCATAGCTTTTCATAGTATCTGGATGGTCAAGCCCAAGCTCCCTCTCATTAATATACAATGCCTTTTGCTGATATATGGTTGCCTAAACATTAACAAAAAGGCAAACAAATGTTATAAACATAGAATCGAATCAGTGCAAATGTGCTAAAGAACCGCTCTTCTTGTTTCATTAAAAAAAAA